AGCAAGGATACTGGGAAAATAAGAAAGGTGTGCATCTTCTTGTATAACAGACAGCCATATATAGGTTTCTCACCTCCATACATATGAGCATTCCATTCTCACTCTGTTCATACTATTCCAGGAAAACTAATCTAGGACTCAGTATCTGTAGTCCATACTGAATGTATACAAATAGAAAAAAAAACCCTATGCGAGATTAAAAAAACATTGTTCTTTGCAGGACTTGCTCTACAGATGAGTACTCAAATTTCCGATTCTACAGAATTAAGATATATATCCCTAATAATTTGTTACTCATGTGCAATTTGTATCAGAATCTTAAATATGTTAGGTAGAGACAAGATTGGTCTAATTTAATACTAATGGGGAAAATTACTGGTTTCTTGTATTTGGACATTTTATTTTTCATGGTTTGTCTGTGTGCTTTGAGTATAAACTTCAATGTCAGGTTTTTTTTATACTTGTGAGTTTTGTAATTTGTAATGGCTGTGGAGTTTTTCCAGGTGTATCTAATGGCAAAATCTTATATTGAACTGCATTTTGAAAGCTCAAGTGTAGTTTAATTTGCTTGGAACAGGAGGAGGGAAGGAATGCCATTCTTTCCTTAGGGAGACAGCAGTTCCTTGTGCAACATTAACTTAAAAGAATATGTGACACATATATGTTGCCAACAGGAATGTAGATGTATAGAGTTCTGAAAATAGTAAGTGTCAATAGAGAAGGGTTGCAGATGCCAGAAGAAAAATGTAAGCTCCCAAGCGCACTCTTTTTATTTTTGCCTTGTCCAATGCCAAGACTGATGTTTAAAATTCAGGCTTTCCCTAAAAAGTGATTATTTAAAAAAAAAGTCTGACTTCAGAACAGATGTGTTTCCTGTGTGTATTCAGAATCTTTTTATTTGTTTCCATAGCTCTGTTTGAATATACTATTTACACCTGCTACACATGTGCAGCCAAAAGCAAAGAGAGGGAGAAACCAAATTCAGCTCCTCCCTGGGCATGAGCTGTGGAGCTGCTGTACAGGGGCAGCTCAGCCAGAGGCTCATGGGCAGCAGGATCCCTCTGTCCACTCCCCTTGGGAACACAGCAGTTGTGCTCTGCAGCTCCTTCCCCTCTGCAAAACACTAGCCTAGAAATCTGTAACAGGGCATTAAACCACTTAACCTGCAATGGCAGCAAACTGAACCAATCATTACTTCTTCTGTCTGTGTTAGCCACCAAGGACAAATGTTCACTCTTCTTTATAGCAATCTTTTCATATAGTTGAGGACTATGTCATCATGTTCCCTGTGAGCTTTTTCTGTCACATACAAAACACAGCTAGATCCTTCTGCCTTTGTTCTTTTTTGTCTTTTGGGGTAGGTTGGTTTGTTTGCATGTGTCTTTAAACTCATTGATTCCTGTGGTTCTCAGAAAACTAATTCCTTTAAGAGTGGGTGGCCCAGACTTGGCCATAGTACTCCAGAAGTGGACAGACTATTCCAGCTGAAGTCTTTCCAGAGATGTGTTTGGTGGAGTGGAAGGGTATTATATCTAAGACATTTCCCTTATTTCCAAGAGCAATTGGTTGCAGACATATTTGCTTTATGATCTGGAGCATTTGCTATAGCTTATCCAGTATCCTCCATTTTGTTTTTGAACTTTTGTCACTTCACTTTATTGAATTTCATCTTCATTTCAGATCGTTTCTCTAATCTATCAAAATAATTTTGAATTCCAGTTCTGTCCTGCAAGGTATCTACATCCTTTCAAATGTGATTTCATGTACTGACTTTTTACATCGGTCCATTCTGCCTTCCAAACCATTAAGCAAAAATAAAAGAATTTGGAGAAAATGCCATAGTCTCAGTTGGCCTCATATTCCAGTTGCAAGATCTATCACAGGCAAGTGGAAAAGCCTCATTTAGCTTGCAGACTCTTAATCATGTAAGTGTGTAAGGTGTAAAGAAGAACCCAGCGTGACTCTCAGATCACACAGTGAACATACGGGACTTTTAGATGGAGGGGGAAAAAGAACATCATTGTACTTAAAATCTGATTACCTTTGCCAAAGAAATCAGAGTCAGGAAAAAATACTGAAACGGTAGGATTCCATTTACTTGGAGACCCTATTCAGAGCTGAGCCATGGTTCAAATTACAAATAATACCAGGGGTGGAGGGGATCAGAGGGAACAATGGCAGTTGTGGAAGAAGTCGTTTTGCTGCTTGGGTACCTGGCCACAGCAGCACGGCATCTTCACTTCTGACCCAACTTGCTGGCTGTCTGTGCCCTCTTCTCTCCTCTGACCTATTCTCAAGTTTATTTTAATACAAAATATTTTTAGAGAATTAATTTTTTTTGGTTATGTTTAGGCCATTATTTCAGTGTTTGAGCATGTGAGTGCACTATGTGAAAGGGAGGTTGCCATGGTAATTTCTCATTATTGTTGAATAGAAAAATAATTACTCTGGCAAAATCCCCCGTAACCTGTCAAAGCATAAGTTAAAGATGCCTGAGGGCAGCCTTGCCTTCACCATCCCCTTTTTGGAAAAAAAAAAAAAAAAAAAAAAAATTAATAACTGGGTCCTTTTTTGGTTTGGCTGAGGACACCTCATTTGGTTTTGTTCACATTTGGCTTTGAGAGTAGATGGGCCCACCTGTGACAAGGATGGGGCAGAAAATTAATCAGCAGAGCATTTCCAAGGTTGACAGGATTTATACACTCTTTCTTAAAGTTGGATTTTCTTTCTGGGGTGGCGTGTTGCATTTTATATTTTTCCTTGTTCCTCACCTATAATATGCAAAAGCTTAAGATAATGACCTTGGACTGTGTTCAAACTGTGAGAGAGTCTGAATGTTTCATCTACCCAGGGAGGGAATCTACAGTAATTCCATTTCCACATTTCCCTTTCTTTCAAGACTTCTTGAGAGGCAGCTTGAGTGCAGATATGTGTGGTTTTGAGGTGAGGCCCTGCACTTTCCCTGCTCTTCTCCATCTTTCCCACATGCAGTTACATCCTGGCTATGTGATGCTCTCCTTCTTGTTCCCATGTCATTGGATTCTGCATGAGTAGCTCCAGTGGTACTCAACTACTGCATTAACAAGAGCTGCAAATGTGGTGTGTGGCGCTGCTGAAATTCTTCCCTCCACTCTTCCTTCCCCATGACAAGCACGTCCAAAAGGTTAAATGGTACTGCAGCCCCTCTTTAGTCAAATGGCAGAGTGGGAGCTCAATTTTGGGCAAGGCACTCTTGCATGGGGTTGTAAAGCAGCCCCCAGGCTGTGCTGAGTGCAGGGCCCCGTGCTGAGGTGTGCTGAACACCTGTGTGTGTGCTCCATGCTCACCACTCTGTGTTTCATGCTCACTGCTGTGGCTGCTTGGCTACCCAGCACAGCAGTGTTTGCACATGGGAACTCTCATCAGGTTTACACCAGGAAAGAACAACAGCTCTCAGTGACAGCAGATTTCTGAGATGTGGGGACAGCTTTGATACCTCTTTGTGTGACTGAATGGCAGGGCTGTATGGTCCTGTCACTGCCAGGTGGGATGAGCCTTGGCAGGGAAAGTGTATTACAGCTCTGACTCAGACAAGAAGTCTCTCTAGGGTCTCTTGTAGGAACCAGATTGTTAAACCTGTCCTTACCATTTCTCCATTGGATGCTTGACAAAAAATCAAAGTGAATTTGAGAGGCAGGAAATATACCTTGCTTAACATTTTGGAGTGAAATCCAAAAGTAACATCATCAGGAAATACAGCAGCAGAACTAAAATCTCCAGATTGCTCTGCATGTGTACATAATGAATATGATAGATGCATATTTTCTTTTAAATTGGCATTTTATCTCAGGATTTTTTCCCTGTGAAGCAAACAAATGTTTTCTGGCTTAGATCTATATTGGTCAGGCATTAAGAGGTGCTGAGGTCTCACTGTGCTGAGTGAACCTGACCTTGCACACTGGAAAGGAAGGTGCTGTGAGTGTGAGAGAGTGGCTCTGAGGAGTGCAGCTGGGGCATCTTCAGAGGTGTATTTCCAGCTTTGATACTGACCTTGTGTGCTACAAGTGATTTCAGCCTTGGGGCATCAAAGGAGCAGAAGAGACTGGACCAAAAAATTGTAATCTTGCTATTAAATACATCTACAGCTTTTGAATGAAACATTTGGTGGGTTTGTGTTGCCCAACTTCTGTGAAAACCCTTGCAAGTTGGACCACTTATTTAGGTGCTAGACATTGAGGTATGGGTGCCTGTTGTTGATCATTTGGGTCTGAAGATGCCTGGTTCAATTGTTAAAGTCAAGAAATTACCTGTAGTGCTGTGTTGGTATATGTTTTACATTGCCCACTATTTTAATAATTGCCACGTTCCAGTTATGTGTATTACTGTAAGTCTAAGTATGCACAAGTCATCTTAACACATTTTTTTTACTTCTTGTATCACGCTTAAAAGTAAAGATTTCTCACAACAATTACATTTAATTAACTAGCTGGTATTTAATTAACCTGAAGTAGCATTATATTTGTATTAAATGCATTGGAGTAGAATGGCCATTATATTTAGTTCTAAATAACTTTCTTGTAATCTTATGCTGATGACGAGGTTATATAGCATTCTAGAATTAAGTACTGAGGGATTTTTCATTACTAGGACCAAGTACTTGAGACACACAGCTCAGAAAAGGAGGGAAAACTCATAATTGCTTTACTTGCAACTGATTTATAAAACCATATCTAACATTTGGGAAAAAAATGTTATGGAAAAGAAAGTTTTTGCATATTTAGTACGCTGGATAAAATGAAAGACAGTTTATTATACAGTAAACTAAACACTTCAGGTTTTTCCCTAAATTAGAAATAGAACTTTATCTAGGAAAATTAGTTTGAAATGTCATATAGACATCTGCACCCCAAAACCATAGGTGAAGAAGCCAAACTAGGTGTGATCCTGTTGAATTTCTTTTACAACAGATGAACATATTTTCATTTTGCCTTCTGTTAAGTGAATGATCTGTTGCTTCCTAGGATAGTGACAACCTCTGGTGGGATGCCTTTGCAACTGAATTTTTTGAAGATGATGCAACCTTAACACTTTCATTTTGTTTGGAAGATGGACCAAAGCGATACAGTAAGAAATGTATATTTTTTGTTCTAATGTTAAGTATGAGTTTCTAAAAACAGTTTATCTGTACAAGACAGATGCAGCCCTGGCAATGACAAAGTCACTTGTGTATATTCAGTGACTATTAAGTTACATTACAGAATTCCATGAAATGGGAATTCATTTTTATAGAATATAGATTTATTACATGAAAATAAATTATTTCCTAGTGGAATGAAGCAAATGATAAAATATAATCTTTGGAATTTTTTTAAATTAATGTGCTTTGTGGCTGTGCTTGCACTCTTTGGTAATTTTTCTTCTGCAAAAATTCAAGTGTTGAGTCTTGTGGGCAAAATTGCTCACAGAAAGGGAACTTTGTAGCAAATACCAGTATTTTTGCTGGAAGGGCTTCCAAAATTAAAGAGGGATCAGAAAAACAACAAATTAAAATCTATCTCCTTGCTGATGTAGATAAGTATTATTCCATAAACTGTGTAAATCTATGCTGCTTGCACACATTAAGGACCAGCCTTGGATGCTGTCTGAGCAGCAGTGGAAGTCTAGAATACTCTCAATCAAGCACTAAATGAAAGCTTGAATAAAAGTGAAGCAGTGAATAAATCTGATGGCATTGGAATCCATTGCCTGTATGCACTGAGCAGCAAAAAGGGATAAAATTCATCAAACAAATTGTTTGAAGTGAATAATTCACTTAGATTTAGCACCAAGCAACAGAGAGAGAAGTAAACATTGAAAAACTGCATTGCCAATTGTTTGACTCCATTCAGAGTGACCCCTGCTTCATGGTGACAGATTGTGCTCTCTACTTAATGTTCTGAATCTTGTGAGGTTCTTCTTTTTCATGAGAATGATTGATTGTCAGCGTATCACTCACATACTTCTAATTCCTATTATCAATTATCTCAGGTATTTATTTGACAAGTGTTGCCTTCTTCAGGAGAAAAAATAACAACCACTTTGAATGCACATTTCTGGGATTAGTGTTGACAGAATTACAGTTTCTTGCCTTTCAAAGCAAGTGATAACTCTCTAAAGGTCCGCAAATTACAGCCTATAGCAACGTTGGTAACAGCTGATCTGTCCTGATTAGGTTGAGTCAACTTGTCAGATATCAGATTTGCTAGTTGTGTTATCAGTCCAGAAGGCACAGATAAATCAGCAAAAAAGCAATTAATGTCCAGTTAGATCAGAGGGAGTTGTGATTCTGGAAAACAGTGCTGCATATCAAAGTATTTGTCAATGTGTAAAATACTCCTGTTGTCACAAATGCTTGATAATGGTTGTATTGTCTGTAACTGGGACAGTTTGTCGTGTGGTAATGCTGTGATTCTTAGCATTGTTGCTGATAAGAATGATTGAAAGATCAAGTTACTGTAGCCATGCTTTTAAAAGTGACTAGTACACAGAATTTTTTCTCTGGCTTTAACTTCTGACCTCTGCACAAACTGTTGTTGCTTTTGGTTTATTCTCAGCATTTGGAATTGAAGCTCCACATTTAAGGCTCTTTGCTGTTAATTCATATTTCCTTTGTTAGTTAATATGTACGTAATACTGAACTACAGTATTAGTGATGCTTCTTGACATGAGCAATATTCCAACTCAGAGAAACTCTGAATAGCTTTCTGGTGACTGTTCTGGTTTGAGACTTCCATTGCCTTCTGAGAAGGCTTTGAGAGCAGTCTTGAGGCCTCTGTGCTGTCCAGGTCCCTGCTTGGGGACACCTTTGGCATTGCTTGTGGTGGCTGCAGAGTGGAGGTTGCATGTTAAGAGTAGCTCTCTCTTCCGAGCTGGGAACTTTGTGTCCAAAACCATGTCCAGGAGCTGAGAACAAAGACTGCTCTCCTTACAGGTCTCTGTTTTGCTTACCCCAAGCTATGCTCATACTCTGCTATTCTCTTATGGATGCTCTTGGCATCTCCCAAGAACCATAAGGACACCCAGTACCTCTATTCCAAGCTGGTGAAATTGCTGATCAGGGGCTGTGGCTCCTCTTAGGTGAGTATGGCACATGGTTGCAGCACAAAGCCTGGAGTATTGAAAGCAGTGAAACAAAAGTGCCCTTTCCTTCATCTGTGCTGTCTCCAGCAAGACACCTGCCTCCTTGCCTAGTGTGTATGCTCTTTGAGATGGAGAGGGCATTAAACACATTGGAACTGGCTGAGAGGAAAGAGAAAAGACAAATTGTTCTTACTCTTGCCGGCACAGACTGTAATGGAGGGAATCAAGATAAGGCCCCTGAAAAGAGAAAAAGGCATCCTATGAGAAGTTGTTTATAAAGTTGAAAGTGATGAAAGATGCTGACCTCTTGCCTTTGCTGTAGGGTTCAGGTCAAAATTGCCTGCCTTTGTCTTGCTTCAGCCTGTGAGAGCTTTGCTTGCATCTTTGACATTGGTTGTGGCCACCACCTTATTTTTTTTGCTTTGGGCAATGGTTTCCCTCTTCTGAGATCTAAAATACTCTCTTTTGGAACAAACAAATAAGAAAAAAAAAAACCTTGTAAGTATGCATGTGTGGAAAGGACAAAAAGTTTTTTGCTGTCCATGGCCTCATTTTTCTCTGCATTATGGCAATTCCCAGTCCATTTCCCCCCTTCTTCTCAGAGGCTATCCAGAACTTGTATTAAGCCATCAGAGACACAAGAAGCATGATGTTTTGCCCCAGGTTCCTCCTTCAAAGCCCCTGGAGAATGTTGTGGGAGGCTGCTGGGAACTAAGCATGAGTGCAGTTCCCAAATTCCTTTGGGGGCTTTTTTCCTGTGGTTGCTTTAAACTTTTCCTTTTGTATCATTGCCTGTTTCACATCTGGCTCTCTCTGTCCTCTGCTCTTACCTGAACAGTCCAATTCTACAGCCAATGCAAATGTTTAGAGCAGGCCTGTAAATCAGTGTTTGTGTAAGTGGTAGAAGATTTTTTTCCTTTTGTTTCAACTTTTAACATTCATTTTTTTTTAAAGATTTTTAAGGGTTTGGACCCCCTTTTTTTTTTTTTTTTTTTTTTTTTTTTTTTTTTTTGTCTCAGGACACAAAGTTGCTTATTTACTTTCATGGCCCAAAACTGAAGCTTTATGAACAACATGAAATACTTCGAGGGCTTTCATTCATGTTTCATTCATGTTTTACCATGTTTTACAGCACTCCTCTCTATACTGAGAAAAGAAGTTTTCTTCCCTTTGCTGTTCTCAATGTTTCTCCTCAGCTGTCAGTTCTGAGACTCTTTCATTTGTAGGGAAAAATAGATATGGTTTAAAATGGGGATTTTAAGTCACTGGGTTACGTTTACTTTGCTTCACATCAGGCAGCACTATGTACATCAGTACATTGTACTGTACTCGAGCTGGCTTGAAATGTCCCTATATCTGCACAGCACAGCATGCAGAGATGTAAAACTTGCTTATGCCCTGGGAAGAGCAGAGGTTTGTTAGTTCAGTGATCCACTGGTGTTAATTAATTTGATTGCAAGGTTTGTTACACCTAGACCTAGTTATCTGAGCAGAACAATATTCTGCCTTGGATAGATGTGACTTGAAAGCCCATCTTAACTTTTTCATGCAGAGATTCTGTGTCAGACCAGAAATAGCTCCTGTGCCCATCTTTGCAGCTCTTTTTGTCTTTCTTCAGTATTTGATTTCTGTAGATGCAAGAACTTTACCTTCTGCAATCCTTTCTCCCTGGCACAGCATTCCAGAAAGAAGATACTATCTTCTTTCAAACAGCCACTGAAAATATGTTTTCCTCTGAGTTGCTTATACCCTTCAGCTATTCTTTTGGTCTGCTATTATCTATAAACCCTGCTCATATTACTGAATTCTATGTTGAAATTTTAATGAAAATGCTGCAGAAAATAAAGATATATTTTAAGTTAACAAAGGTGTAAAATATGCATTTCTCTAGTCTGGCTTCTTGGCTACCCTGAGATGGAGAGAAACCTCACACATTCCAAAGCTTAAAGACAAGGAAAGATTCCCAAAAGCAGAGATACTACCTGTCTTACACTGCATTGAATTATAGTCAACAGAAACTAAGAAGTAAACACATGAAGTTCATTCTACAGTGAGAGTAAAAAGAAATTTGCTTTAATATATTATGCCCTGATTTGTTTGTTCAAGAAATAAATAGGATTTAAACAAAATCGAAAAAAGAAAATATGCCTAATGGAGCAGAATTTTTGTTTCCTTGTTGTGGATAAAGCATTCAAAGAGGCTTCTATCCCTGAAAAAGAGTAAATACTAGACTCTGATCCATTGTTGCCCAGGTTCTTTGTTTCTCAGAGACAAAATATTTCCTGAACAGATAAGAGAAACAAGTTTGATTGACAGCTCTTAGCAGAGTCTCATCAGCTGCTGTGCTGACAGCCTGGTGATGCACACTGTGCTGATGTGGTAGGGACTGACAGGTGATTGACAGCCCAAGACTGTGGAGACAGGAAAGATGAAGCATGCTCAGTAAGAATAATGTGCAGTGTTTATGCAGCACTGCAGAGAATAGGAGCTAGAAAGTTAACTCTTTCAGGGAAAGTGCTACTTTAATGCATAATGAATGCAGTTGCCACTGTACAGAAAATTAGAGCTTGTCTACATTTCTCTTCTGTTCACTAAATGATTTCTGTCCATGGAGAAGCTATAACACTGTGAGGAAGCAAAAGCATGAGCTATTACATTTGTAGCTGTAAAAAAATTTCATGTGTGGTAGATATGATGGAGTCCTCAAAATGGATTTATTTAAGCTTATAGATGTAGAATATATTGAGAATCTCAGGCACTTTTTATAGGCTTTCATCACACAATTTTATATGGCATTGCATAATGTTACATAGTAGAAATTTCAAAAGGAACAATTTGTGCTCTTTGCTCTCCCTATCCTTAGGAAAATACAGTGATTTCAGTTTTATTGTTGCTCTGAATCTGTAGCTGATAATTGAATATGTATTTTCTGTTATAATTTCTACTGCAGTTTGTGTTTGGAATATACAAGGAACTATAACATGCTTTGCATTTTACGCCCTTTTATTTCATTTTCTCTACTTCGCTCATGAACCTTATTTGATCTTTCTTCGTTTATAGATAGATAGATAGATAGATAGATAGATAGATAGATAGATAGAAAAGGAAGGTTTATAGATAGATTGATAGATAGATAGATAGATAGATAGATAGATAGATAGATAGATAGATAGATAGATAGA